AAGTTTTTTTTTTTTTTTTTTTTTTTATCTTTTTTCAGCTTTGAATTTTCTTCCCAGTCGTTAACATTTCGTTTTTGGACTTTCACTTTCAATTCTTGGACCCATGATGTTCTTTCTTGTCTGTAGTCTATTCCTACAAATTCACTCTTTTCTCAAAAATAGATATCGTTTTTTATTTTTTTTACCTTCCAATTGTATAGCTAGATATGAAAACAGGCATTAAAGTCAGTTTGTAGTATATTCCTATACAAATTCACTTAATTTCCCGAAAAAAAACATGCTTTTTTTTATTTTTTTACCTTTCAATTTGTAGCTATATGCTGAAACAGGCTTTAAAGTCGTTGTGTATATGCCTAGAAAATCACTGCTTCCCCCCCCCCAAAAAAAAAGATGTTTTTATTTATTTTTTTTACCTTCCAATTTGTATAGCTATTGCTGAAAAAGGCTTTAAAATCCGTTTGGAGTATATACCTATACAAAATTCACGCCTTCTCCCCCCCCGAAAAAAAAAGATGTCTTTTTTTTTATTTTTTTTACTTCCAATTTGTATAGCTATATGCTGGAAAACTGCTTAAAGTCCGTTTGTAGTATATTCCATACAAATTCACTGCCTTCCCCCCCGAAAAAAGATGTCTTTTTTTTTTTTTTTACCTTCCAGTTGTATAGTATATGCTGAAACAGGCTAAAGTCCGTGTGTAGTATATTCTATACAAATTCACGCCTCCCCCCCCGAAATTTTTTTTTTACTTCCAATTTGTTATGCTATTACTGAAAACGCCTCCAATTCCGTTTGTAGTAGCCTATACAAATTTACTCCCTTTTCCCCAAAAATGTCTTTTTTTTAATTTTGCCTTCAAATTTGTATAGCTACTACGAGAAGGCGTCAAGTCCGTTGTAGTATATTGGTATACATGGTCTATTTTTAGAAACAGTGAGAAACAGTCCAACAAAAGGGGGTAGGGTTAATTTTTATCATGTCTAGAAGACATGATAAAAATTAACAAAAAGTGGTTTTTTTTTTTTTTTTTTTTTTTTTTTTTTTTTTTTTTTTTTTTTTACATCTCAAATTTTTTTTCTGAGCTTTGAAAAATTTTTCCCAGTCGGCAACCAAGTGAAAAATTTCCAATCGGCTTTACTTTCACTTTCAACTCTTTTCTATAAAGCATTCCACGTTTTCGTTCAGAACCGTGCGGGCTCTCCATAGTGCAACATGCTTTTTCTTTCTCTCTCTACCTCATCTGCATCTAGGATGTTTTTCCTTCTTCAAGAAGTGGAATTCTTTGGGAATACCTTACAATTTCACGAGCTAGCTGTTTCTTATATTTCGAGGAGATTTCAATGAAATTGTTTATAGATGTCAACCTATTGCAGATGGGAAAAAGTCTATACTGGATCGCTGGAGACATCTCACCCAGATAGGTCACGTTATATTTTTGCCCACACCTAAATAAATGGACATGAGCCATCCTTTTGTTTTCTCATCCAAAAAGATAGACACTGCAGACCGTTTGGGTTTTCACTCTTCGCGAACCGAGACGAGCCGCCGACGACTTTGCGTTTTCTGTGAGCGCAATAATGGATCACGTGAGCAGCCATTTTGTTTCCCATCTCACCCAGATAGGTCATGTTGTATTTTGTTTCATACACCTAGCCAATTTTGGACATGAACCATCCTTTTGTTTTTTTTTCTATCGAACCAAGATGGACTCTGGAGACAATTTTGTTTCTCAACGGAAAAGTAATTTTTCTGAATGGGTACCGGTGTTCGAATACTTTTGTGACCGACTGTATATTAACAATATATTTCTGAAGCTGCTTTTTATTTTTGTAATTTTTTGCAAATATAACAAATTATTCCATTGCTTCGCCTGTTTCAGCGCTAAAATACCTCGAGCTCAAGCTTTTGGCGCACAAAAATGCTGCAGAGAATTCTTTTCGTCACTGTATGACATCAGAAGTCGTGTCCAATAAGAGCTTGGGGTGGTGGCTGGCGCCAGGCGCTTGTGTAAAAGGAGGCGCTGCTTTCTAAAACTCAAATTCTCTATATGTTCTTAGTTAGTCTGCGAATAACATGCTCCCCATACGCTAGAGAAATTAAATGATAAAAAAACGAGATGTACAGCAAAGCTACCTAAACTACTAAAGTAAAGCTGACTAAAGTAGCGTCGGTGCCTAAGGAAGGATTCGATCTTAACTTTTGTGAAAAAATTTAAATATTTTAGTAATGGATATGAGGGCTGAAAATTCAATTTTCTTAAAATCTGGGTGGAGAATTTGAAGAAATACTATATAGAAACGTCTCCTTTATTTCACACATGAACAACCATCCTACCATTCATCCCTGGGAGAAGAGAAAAATTCGTACACGTATTCAAATGCAGTTCAAAACAATTTAAATTAAAAGTGCAGTGTTAAAAATTTGAAATTGTTTGGCCATATTATATATAACCTATTATTATATTTCAACTGTAAAGGAGCAGTTAAATTTAAAATGCATAGTATATCTGCCATATGCAAACTAATATATTTCAATGTCTTTAGGCAAAAACTGGTAATGATAGAGAACTAAAATCTCCTCGAAATTTTCTTCTAAAATATACTTCTATTTAATAATGTAAATACATTAGCTGAATATTTCGCAAATGTTTCCCTTGGCGGAAATTTCAGTTTTAACTGTGACCATGAAATGGTTATAAAGCAATCGTAACCCCACAAATCAATTACTCCGTTCGTTTCGTGTGAGCGGTAGTGGCATTTGTCTAATCTCTCTCAATCTTCCCGTTTTTCCTTCCGTTTAACTTTGCATTTACTCTAAAATTAATAAGTTATAATGCGAGCTAAGGTAAATATTATTAGTTTTTCATATTTCTTTATTTTATTATTATTATAATGATTTTTGTGAAATAGATGTTCTATGGTTGCCTTATTTTTTTAAAAATCTTTAGTCTAGACATTCTTAATAAATTATATTCTTAATAACATTTCTTATTGTGACAATATTGTTTACAATAAGAAAAACGTTCTTTTCTGAATAAATTTACTTCAGTAACTTCACCACGTGGTCGCTATCCTTATATCGAAAGATATATCTAAATGAACTGTTATTCTAATTCTGTATTAGAAGTCATATTTGCATGACTGTATTACTTCAAATAAAACCCATGTTTTCTGTATTTCTTAAAACTGTCTATCAGACAATGCGACTCATGGTACTGGAATCGCGTATGAAATGTGGTAATTACTTAATTATAATGTGTGAATTTGCATACAAGGTGTATTGGTAGTATATTGCATTCTTTTGTTTTCTACTTTGATTTTTTAGGACAGTTACCGAAGAGGTACGTATAACGATCCAGACGTTTGTTCCTTAATATGTAACAGAATTCTAGATGAAAGTTACTATTTATTGTAGCAAGTTTAAAGCAAACTGAATGTTTGCTTTAAACATTCTGTATTGTTAACCCGGCGGAAGTCGCACCAAGAAAAGTTACTAGAGTGGGCGCGTGGGGTATCACATACCCCAATGTTTAAAATACAATAAAAATAGTATTATTTAGTTTTAATACTTTTTTTTTTGTTGTTGTTGTTCTCGTGTATTATAAATAAGTGAATAATAATTGGGTTTCAAAACATTAATTTCCGAAATAATCTTAGAGTTAAAATTAAGATAAATGAAAATAATAAGCATCATGCCTCTAAGTTTCATTGCATCTCTAATACACATTGCTTATTTTATTTCTTCACACTTTGAACGAAATACATTCATGTGTTCTTGGCACAGAATGTTTTCACATTTTAAACATTACACTCACGTTCATCTGTCCTTGGCGCGAGGGCAAAAAATTTAACACATCTTTCATACTTAGTTGTCTCGAATTTCATGTATTCGTTTTAATTCTTCATCAAAACTTCTGCTTTTTGTTTTGCATGCATTATGTCAATTTCGTGGAAAAGTATTAATCTGTGATCTTTGTTCAATACTTTTTTCATTAATTGTAATGCTAAGTCCTTCAAAAACAGACTTCTGTTTCTTGGTGGTGGATTAGCAGTTGAATGTAATATAATTCAAGCATTTAGTCATACTATTAAAACATAATTCGTGACGTTTTATTTTCTCCAATAGTATCTTTAGTATGATCGTTATATAATGTTGAAAGCATAAGAACAGTTTTTCCTTTTTTAGGAACATCAGGAATTAATGTTTTATCTTTTTCAAAACCAAAACATTGTAGAAAATATTCTTAGTTTCATCTTCAATTTCCGAAATGCAATCTTCATCGCTTTCAAATATTTCTAATAAATCTCGCATGCGTTGCATTTCCAGTTCATAGGGACTCATTCTTTTTATCATAACGCAGTTAAAAATTTTTAAGAATTGAATGTCAAGTACTTTGAAATAACTTGCGAGTAGAAATATTTACTTATTGCGCTCTAGAAATAAATTTCTGAACTAAATATTCAGTCAGAAAAACACTTATACGAACAGGCGCGTGGGGTGTGTCATGCCCCAGTTCCAACAAAATAACGATAAATCTTTTTCTGAAACACACAGGCAAAGAAAAAGTTCTGAAAGTCAACCACAACTAGAAACTCAGCTACTGAAAGCAGCACAGAATTTCAGTTTCACAAGTTAGGAATATTCCACTTTTATGTAGGGTTGGGGTATGATACACCCCACGCGCCTTCCCACGGGTTAATAACTGCTTCAGCATATTTCATTTTTAGTAATTTTATACCTTGCATATGCACACATAGTATGTAAAACTATATTAATGTTTTGAAAAATGTGTACTCTTAAAAGAGTAATGCAGCCATTTAAAAAAAATACATTAGTCTGTCTGAAATTAAAATCGGAACAGTTTTAAATGTAACTCTTGTATATATTCAGTTAGTATTTGATATTTTGTGTTGCAACTGTGATTCCGGTAGTTATCTGCAATCTCTGAAAGGTGATGAGATAATGATCAATTCATAATCTGTCCTGTATAGAAATATAGCTTTAATTAATTAGCAAGTGCATGAAAAGAACTAATTTGCATTTAAACTCTGGTAGAAATCATTTTAAAATATAGGTTGTGTTTATTGTCTTGCAATTCTAATGTTACGTGAAAAGGAATGAATCTGGAATTGCATTTTTTAAAATGAATTTAAAGATAGCTTGCAGAGATAATGCTTGTTCAAGCCTAGAATAATTATGCATCTAATATAATATGTATCAAGGTATACATTTATTAATGCAAGCCCTGTTGGCCAATATTGCTGATTTATTCAAACTGTAAATGAAATTAAAAATAGCTATCGGGATTCAGCGAATATGAGATTGCACTGTTATGGTATATTTGGTTAAGATAGTAAGATATTTATAAAATTTTATATCCAGAAAGCATAAACAAAAGGGTGGTAAGTTTTGTTATGTGTTTCACCCATCTAATGGTAGGACACTACAATTATAACCCATCAGAATGGGCAAAATTCCTGAAAAAAATTCATAAGGTAACAAACAGGTTTGGTAGTGGAAGTATTGAAGCTTGTATCCATGTTACACATGGGAAACCCATAAAAATGTACTTGCAGCCAGCCTATTTATTTGAAATCAGTTCCAGGTCAAACTTTCATTGCTAAGCGACTTTACAACTTTGTCATTGATGGACCCACCGTGTTAAGGAAATTTTTTTTCATTTGTAGCAGTGTGCAATTGAAGCGTATATTATCTGGAATATCTAAGTTTGCCAATCTTCCAGTAAAGAAAATTCGTTGTATGTAGAACATATTTTGGATTATGGTAACTTGGCAAAATTTTGGCGACCAACTCTGCTACAGCAAACCTCTATTTTTTTTTTCCGCCGCCATTTTGTCTTCATGAAGTAAAGAGACATGTTTCTTTTTATTTACTGAACACTTTTTCCAACAATCTACTAGCCAAATTACACTTATACTAGAAATTTTATCTAACAAAACTGCTTAATCATGACAAATATCACTGCAAAATTGGAAAAAAGTGCACAATCGCAAACTCCTTGCGCGTTTTCAGAATAGCACATACACATAAACCATTTACACGTCGACTTATTTTTACTTATAAAAACATCCCACAATTGCACAAAAATGGCATTGCGCACACTCTTCGCTATATCCATGTACACTGCTTTTTTCTCATAAATTACAAAAATTTCACGAAAATGCATGAAAATACTCAACGTATACTACTCAAACATATTCCAAAATACTACAAACATATAACTCATAAAATCACGATCATTAAAATATAATTAAATTAAAAAACTACTTAAAATATAAGTAAGCACATACATTAAATTAATAAAAATTAGATTACAATCCTAATTACTTTAAATCATTGCTAATAACAATTTTCAAATAATACCATTTTAATTTATTTACTCCTTACATTTAGAACAATGCATAAAAATATCCTCAAATGATTAAAAATACTAACTTACCTGATCTTCTTCAGAATCTTCATTATGTCGCTGCAGTACTACTGCTAATTTCTAAATCCTAAATCCAGTAGTCAACTGGAAGGCTATTCACCAAGTAATAAGAAATTAATAAAATTTCACCTATATTAAAACTACTTTCAGCAAACCATGTACTTTTCCTTACACTCCTTTTCACAAAATGTCCATTTTCACCATATTTCTTGCACTGCCATTTAAACTTGTAATATCCTTCCTTTCACACAATCTCAACTTATTATTATCATCATCAGATAAACACATTAAAAATTTATAATTCACTTTACATAGCACCATGCAATCCGAAAATTAATCAGCACTATTTCACACAACACACAGTGAAGGTTTTCCAAATTACCACCTTTTCCGATTAAAGAACTGTAATTCGTCCATTAATGTCCAGTTTCGCACAAAACAGAATATAGCTAAATACGAAATTTCCAGATTTCCCCCCCTTGTCCGATTAAACAACTGTATTTCGTCCATTAATGTCACCTGACATATCTCATGATCTCTCATTTCCCTCACATAAAATAATGCGTAATCGGAGCTGAGTTGCTCACATTATTACCAAAGTCCTAGGTAGTAACCTTTATCGCCTCCAAAATGTTGCCAAACTACCAGTTACCATATTCCAAAGATCAGCCCATATTTCTTATAAATTTTAGTGCTAGAAATATACTTGTTTTATAGGCTTTAGTGGAAAAAAATATTGATCTTATTTAATTCATTTGTAGCAGTAGCTTACTGAATCAAATTCTTTTATTTTTCTGTGTAAGCAAGCCTGAATTGTGAAAACCTTTGTTGGTGATGTACAAATGTCTATTTGGGTAATCTTGAGGTTTCTTTCACATGTAAAATTAGAGATGTCTGAAACTATCATACATCTGCAAAGAATCCTTTTGGTGACAGTGTATTTAAATGAAAAGCATTTAGTGCATAGTGTTATAATAATGCGTGTATGTTAGAGAAATTCCTCTTGCTAACAAACACCAGGGTCCACTATGGAGGCTGGTAAAATAAATCAAGAAGAAACCCCCTTTGGCAGGTTTCCATTGACTTGCTTTGTTAGTGTAAAAAAGGAAGTTATGTCAAAAAAATATCCACATCATGAAGTTGTCCTTATAGTGCTGTAATGTTACTTTTTAATTAACCAAGAAACCTGTTAACTTTTTAAACAAGATTTTTTTTTCTACCTTAGGAGCTCAGTAATATTACAGTAGGCTTAATTTAGATGAAAATTGCCTGATTAACCCTTTGACAGGAAAGTTGTGTGTATGTTTAGACATTGTCAAGTAGCCTGAATGGCTGCGTTTTTCTGCCTGATGCCTTCCTGCATCACATTAGTAAATGGTTGCTTTTGGGACTTGAATGACATGGCAGTCATTGTTTTAAAGCAACTAGTGTCTTATTTGAACCTTCCCTCTCCTTTGTTTAGCATCAACGTTTAGCTAATGATGCTAGCAGTTGTCCTTATGGGAAACTGCACAACTCCAAGATAAAAAATCACTTAATTAGGTTATTGTTAGTGCAGTAATGTTCTATTTAGCAGGGGAGGAAATCTATTTGAATAGAAATTCATTAGTAACACAGATGTCCCAGATATTTGAGAGAACAGAATTTGGCCTCTCAGTGCAAAAGAATCTTTTTTTAAACAATATTGATTGCAAAAATACGTAACTTATTTTTAAACAATGCAGAATTAAATAGAATTGTAAGGATGGTATAATAAAATAGACCATTCAAATATCTTGGAAGTTGACAAAATGTGAAGCATTTGTTAAGATGCATGTTGGAAGGATATGTCAACTTTATTATATGAATACTGCATAGGGTAAATTTTTTTTGGCAATAGATTTTATTATAAGCAAATAGCCCTACTCTTAAGATTTATTTAAAATTTTTTATCTCTAGTGGAGAAAGAAGAGAATGCGAAGGCTAAAGCGTAAAAGGAGGAAGATGCGTGAAAGGTCTAAGTAGATGGCTACCTAAAATAGGTAATTTGATTTTTCTATATTGTGTCTATATAAAATAATATTTCTTGATATTTAAAAATTTGAACAAAGTAAAGCTGCTTATAATCTATTGCATCCTCTGGGGATACTCAGATAACTGGCACTTAGCGAGGTTCCAGAAATCTCATTTGCCAATTTGGCAATAGTTGCCAAACAGTGGGAAGAGTGTTCAGGTTGCTAGCTCAGATGTTAACTAAGATAGGGAAAACAGATATTTTCTTTTCTGTATGTAGGTACTTTGCATTGGGTGTCATGACTTAGCAAATAAATCTTTGTGCTGATGATCACATGACTTTGTCAGTAGATGTTTTGAATTTGCTGTTAATTATTTTCTTAAATTAATTACACCTGTAATTAGAATAAGATAATTTCTCGGAAGGATTTTTTTGATGCCAAGAGGGAAATGACGTCAAAAGGCGCTTTCCAAAATTTCTCTCCTGAGCTGGACATAAGGGAGAAACCGGTGCTAGGCGAAAATCGCCTGAGGCTAAATACAATAATGCGTTTGCGTTAAAAAGGTATCGCCTGAGGCTAAATACAATAATGTGTTTGCGTTAAAAAGGTAAACAATGTACATAAAACTAATTTAGTTGTTGATATGGTAAAGTTAATCTACATACATTTTTTCACCTTAGTATTTTAGATGAAGATATATATAACTCCAACATTATTACCCTTAATACTTTTCTTTTTTAATTCTGACCATTAATTTCTACACTTATCTATAATAATAGTTAAATATGTTTGAAAACATGTTCTTCATATAAATGCAGTAAAGATTATGCAAATGGAATATTTATCACGTAAGTAACGTTAAAAATTTTAAAAGATAAAATATACATGAGTATATTATTTGGAGATACTCAGATAACTCGGATGACATTTTATTTTGATGAACTAAACCGTTCATTATAGATTTACTTTTACTCTCTATATTAAAATAAACTTATGTTAGCATTTTATATAGAATAAATATCTTATATAAAATTATCCATTCACATTATATTACCAACAAATTTATAATAAAATATATGAATGAATGAATGCAAAAATAGGTACAAGAATTTTAACTTACCCCATTGCAGTTGTGCATAACGTATTGTATATCCTTTTATTATATTCTTGTTGATATTTGCAGTTGTTCTAAAAAACAGTTTCTTGAAATATTAACATCTGAGGTTCGTGTTTTGAAATAATTAATCCAAATCACTTTGTTGTACACTTATGAAATGTTCACACTGCATGCAACACAAATCTAGTAGTTATAATCCCTGTCTTGCACTATCCTCCTCATATCAGGTCACACACTCAGAGTCATACTTTACATTCTTAAAAACTGACTGGCTTCAGCATCTGTTTAAAATATTCCATAATTAAAAAGGTGGGGATAAATAGATTCCATTTCCACATCACCTTAGAAGTAGGTTTGCACTTGCTTTAAAAAACAAACTGTAAAATACTCTTTAAGAATTAAAGAAGCATGCTAAATATTTCAATTGTTACTTTTAAGTATTAATTTCAGTTTTAAGGAAATGAAAGTTGAATTATAATCATGAAGAAATTGGTTATTGCGAAGCATGACATGCATAACAAATTAAGCAATATGATACGTTAAATATTTAAAATTTTTGAAAGTAATTATGTCTGTACATCAAGTGCAAACCTACATCAGGAGGTAGGAATCGTGATGCGTTTTTTTTTTTACGGAGGTGTCGCCAAGAGCCATAATCCTCCGAACCTGAAAAATTCAAAAACCAAGGGAGGCAAAAAATGTTTTTTTAAGTATAACAGTCAAGAAATGATTATAAAAAAAAACAAATGAAATCACTGTTACAAGAAAAATAAGATACATAATAAAGAAAAATAATATACAAATAGGGTTTACAGTTAATACATATTTGAATATTTTTTTGATCAAATTTTTACATATTTTTAGAAATTTTGATCAGAATTTTAAAAAAAATCACACGTGGACTGTTGTGCCTTTGATCTCATAAAGAGCTAAGCTTTCCTAAGTGCAAAGCCATCACAACAGATGGAATCTGGAAAGTTATGGACGAGGAATAAAAATCAATACCCATGGAAATATTATGAAAAGCCCTTCTTTCGGAGAAATCATGGGCATTTTCTGGGCAGGCTTGCCGGAAAAAAAGCTATCATATTGAACATATAAAAAAATACTCTTTACATTTTAAACATAATTAAATGGCCCCCAAATTGTTCTAAAAATGTGTAAATGCCTTCTTTTGTATATATTTACATTTAGTGCTTACCAAAAATACTTAGGAAATAAATTACATTTTCGAACCTGTAATTCTGCTGTATTTATTTATGAAAGGGCTGCAGGATTTTTAATTTCCATACTTTGAAATGCAATTGAAAAACATGCACTTATTACTTATTTTTGCAAAGCTCTTTCTATATATATATATACAGGACGTAACAGAATTTATATCACAAGTTTAAGGGATGACAGAACATGGCAAACTTAATAATTTTAAGTATACATTGTCAAATGTCATCACAGGAACACAATAGTATGGAGGATGAAAGATTTTCTTATTGATGGTTATTTACAAGAATTGTTAAAATTAAAAATGGTCAACTGCAATATATAAATCACAACACTGAAGAAGTGGCTGGCATAGACATTAAAAGATGCCCACATCAAGTACTCCTGAATTAACACCAATTGTACTGATACATTTTTGAAGAGAATCAATGTATGTCTCTTAAAAGAAATCCGTCATAGTTGTGGTGCATGTATCACCGTGCTGTTGCTACTTGTACTTTTGAACAGCTGTTGTTAATACCAAATGCTATTTTTAGTAATTATCTGCTTTTAAAAAGCTGTCTGACTTCTGCATTTACATTGCATTGTGTTATGCAAACTGTCTTTTTTGCCATGGTTTATCAGCCTTTAAAGCTGTCATATTTATTGCTAAATGTAAGCAGATAATAATAAAAATGCTATATCTTATTGTTTACTTTTTATGATGCATTTTAGAAAAAGAATCAAGTTCTTAAAATAAATTAAAATGAAAAATTGCTTATTCTTACCCCACATATCATCACCATCTTCAATAAACTGCATTTCATCATCTTGACGGGCAGCTTTTTTCGGTGGCATTAAATCTTCAATATCCTCACTTTGTACTGTTGGCTCATTTATAAATTTCAACTCTAAACAACTCTAAACCATTTTTTCCATAGCCAGGATATACAGTTTTAATATCTTGTAGGAACTGGTAAATTTTTTTCGCCCGGATATTGAAATTGCTTCAAACGAAAACGCTTGTAATAATGAAGGGCCATATACTGTCTCAGACTTTGATCATTGCGTCTATTAACAATTGTTCTTTTAAAAATTTTGTTTTCATTTTCTAACTGATTTATCGTATTGAATTTATCCTTTTTAGCTACAAATTCACCTGTAATGGAAATATGTCAATAAGCTTTTGTGTAGATTCTTGAGGAAATTATTTAACATTAGAAAATTTCTTCATAAACATATTTTTTTAACAAGCTGACTGTAACCGATTAACCAATCACATGACCTGTAAAATAAGTATTCACAAATTGTTAATTTATTAACATATTCAGATATGAAAACAAAGTGATTTAATTATCTTTGCTGTGATTTGTTGTCTTGTGAACAGCTCCAGAGAACATGCTTTCTATATTTTTATACTGTTTAGCTGAATCTGTACAAATGACTGAAGTTTCTGGATGAACATGATGCTTTATATATGTCCATATATCTCGCTTGCTTTTCCCATTAACTCTAAAAAAACAGCCCTTTGTCTTCTCGACAATATATTCCTTAAAACAGTTATTGTCATGTTTTTGGTAACCCACCCACTGTTAAACTTATGCTTGGTAAGAAATGTCTCATCAACTAAAATGGTTTTACCTGCAAGGCAAATAAAAGGTAAATGAAACATATCACAATTTTGCAATAAAATGGTGTCTGCCAGGCGAGCAAACTGTTTTCATAATCTTCACCATGTGTACATTGAGTATAAGCCAGTTTCCCTCAAAACGTCCTTCACAATGGCATTCCTCCTTTTACACAGATAGCCCTTTTGACTTTAATATGTTAAAATGTCCTAACGTAACTTAACCTGCAGCTTTCGTCCACACGAATTCTCCTGCATAACTAGGCAAGCAACTTTCCACCAACCAATTCCCAGCTCAATTACATCTTGAACAGTCGATAACATTTCCATTATACGATTTCTATCATCTGCAATTTGAAGCATTGCAACTGGAATACACTCTTCTGCAAACTGAAAATTAAATAAAAAATTTTATTATATTTTAACAATTGGCATCTTTCTGGAACTATTATTTCGGAACATCTGCAGTATTCTAAAGAAAGCATCACTGCAGTGTATTGTTAGCAGTGCATCTGTAAGTATTGGCTAATACATAAGTACCCTGAAATATAACTAATTATTATTTACATTATAGGAATGCAATAAAGGGCTATTTGCCTAAAAGGAGAGGTGCCTTCATGGAGTACTTTTTAGGGGAACTTACTTGTATTCATGTTACACATGGTGAAAACTGTGAATACTCTTGGGAGCGAAGCCAGCCTGTTTGCTAGGATCTTCATTACGGTTAAACTACGAGTATTCAGTCATTTTATCACTCAACATGTAAGGGACTTAAAATATAAGGTAAAATGCATATCTCCTTAAAAGTTGAATTAAATACACTCATGTCCAAAATTATGTTTACATGCATAAATTCACGGATTTCTCAGAGACTATGACTTAAAATTTAATGAATTTTCGTGGAATCATACATAACATGATGACACATAAATGCAAAAGAAAAAATTGAAGATCTCCTCATATGATATAAAATTGTAGCATGAAACAATAAAAATGATAATAAAAGTATGACAAAGAGAGTTAAGAAAAAAAGGGATGATTCAGAAAAAGAATTAAGTCTTACAAATTTAATATGGAATATGATCTCCCCTGACTTGTACACACATATCACAACGTGTTTTAAGGCTGGAAATAACGTTGTTAACCACAGTTTGGGGAATTAATCTCCACTCTTACAGCAATGCCGTCTTCAGAGCATTTACATTTCTAGGAGGAGGATGTATATGTGCAATTGCTCTTCCAAGGTAGTCCCATAAGTTCTCTATCGGGTTAAGGTCAGGAGAGTTTGGTGGCCAAGGTATTCGCTTAATGTCTTCACTTTCAAGGAATTCATCGAGGTTTGCTCAATGTGGACGGGCATTATCATCCATAAATAAAAAGTCAGGTCCATATGCACCCCTGAAAAGTCTTACATAAGGATCTAAGACCTCATCTCGATATATCTGGCCTGTCACATATCCGCTGCTGAACACGTGTAGGGGCGTACGTCCATCGATCATTATTCCACCCCATACCATCACACGTCCACTACCGAAACGGTCACGTTCCACAATGTTCGAGGGATCATTTCGTGTTCCTGACTCCCTCCAGATGTAAACACGTTTAGAATCACCAGTTAAACTAAACCGCGACTCATCAGTAAAGAGAACATGGGACTATTGATGTTCAGTCCAGTTTTGATGTTCTTTACACCAATTAAAGCGATCCCTCTTTTTCTGTGAAGACAGTAAAACACATACCCTTGGCTTTCTGGCATAAAGGCCTTTTCCATTAAGCCTTCTGTATATTGTTTGCCGTGATGCAACAGTTTCAGTGGCGGCTGCAAGCTCTGAACTTAACTGGCGAGCAGTAGCCTGTTTCTGTTACGACGGGCAGTTAATGCCAGATACCGATCTTCAGAAGCAGTTGTCATTCGTTTCCGATCTTGTCTAGGCCTCCTTACAACACTTCATCATTTTGAAACTGTTTCCATAGCTTAGAGACTGTCTGTCTTGAAATATTCAGACATGTGGCTGTTTCCATGATTGACTGCCCTGCTTCTAAACGGCCGATAATTCGCCACTTTACAGATTCTTCCAAATGATACTTCGAAGCCATAACAAACCGCTTTGAGTCCCTACACACTGAAATCAAACGCTATGTTGAAGAAATTCACTCAAATATTCAGTTTGCGCAAAGCGCTTGATTTACCCTTGGATGACGTAATGCCTAGATTTGCATATCACAAACTGTTTGATTACTTTTGATTGGATAATGCTAATTAGGCTTGGTTTTCAAACATTCCCTGCAAATACGGATCACATTGATTCAATATTTCATTGAATATCATCATTTTTGGGTATGTAAAGATAATTTTGGACATGAGTGTACATGGCTCAGTTAATTTGTGAGACAAAATAAATACAGGAAAAAATTAAGAATCCTTTACCTGCTCCACCAAGTTGTGTACTGTGATGAGAAGCAGAACGGGGTTAACCATTCCTGGACACTTGCCTCTATTCCTGTTGCTGCAAATCCATCTCCAGCCAAGTTTTGCTTTTTTCCTGGAATTGGCATTCATCTTATGACCACATTTTGGGCAAGGTGGGGCCTCCTCTTATTTCGGAAGCAAGCCAGCTTCTGTTGCTAAAATAATTGCCTTTTCTTCATCATTAATCAATGACATTCCTGTCATGTTGAAGTATTTCAATTTCTGCATTAATGATGAAGTAGCCATAGCAAAGGAAAAATAGAACCTAACAAAATGAAATTAAATAAATCAAATAAAATATTAAATTAAATGTATTATTTTTAAATTAAAAAAGATGTTAAATTTAAGCTAACAATATATCAAACTAAAACACTGATAACATACAGGAATAAAGGCTTAGGTACAGGGGAAAAAATGCAGAAATAAATATTAATAACTTCTGAAATATGAAAAAATTACAAATATTCCTAAGTTACAGAAATAAAAATTAGTAATTCAAATATGCAAATATTAATAGATGCAAATAGATAAAAATTTAATTGAAAAAATACTTGCTTTGGCAGGTGATTCCTTTTGAAGTGATGCACACAGAGCACTCAACCAAAATGATGTAGGTTCAGAGTTGAGAGGTCAAAATTCGCGGGCTTTTGCGCCTACGTCATTTCGTGAAAAATCGATTCCATGTTAATAATCGATATTTTGTTGATCAAAATTACTTGCATAAACAGTAAAAATGTATATAAACGTATTTTATATTTTTATTAACATAATTTTGCATTGATAAAGTAGCAGATATTTTTTTCAATAATAAAAGTTTTTGCAAAAATTAAATTTGATAGATGACTGTGTGAAAAAAGTGTTTTAATATGTGTGTCTTTAATGTTGTTTATAAATGAACTGAATGAAAAGGTTATCTGAATTTTGTAACTAAATCGGCAATAAATTGGATACCACTGTGGCGAAATCATTCGTGTTAATGAAGCCTTAATGCAAA